ACAACACTTTTCCAACAACAATATCAACCTTTCCCGACCTTCCAACAACAACAACTTCAACAATATCAAGCTTTCCAATAATTCCAACAACTCCAACAACTCCAACAACAATTCCAACCACAACTATCACAACCCCCTCATTCGCCGGATTTTGTTTTGGAAACTCAACCTTCACCACCAAGTCAACCTAAAAAAAAAGGAAAAAAACCGGCCCGACCCACCACCACCCAAGAAAGGGTCCCATGGACAAAAGACGAAAAAGAAAACCTCGCCGATGCATGGATTTCGGCTTCCCAAGACCCGATTGAAGGCGATAGTCAAACGTTCGGTTGTTTTTGGGAGAAAGTCTGCGCGGTGTTTTATGAGTTAACGGGAAGTGAAAGTCGAAATCCCGATCAAATTAGCTCCAAGTAGCGCGATATTCGACTCAAATACACCGAGTTTGGAGGAATTTACAACAACCTCCTAAAGATACGAAAAAGCGGGTCAAATGATTTTGATGTTTTCAAGGCGACTTCGGATCAATTTGAAAAAACAACGGCAACCCGCAAAAGCTTTTCCGTATATGAAACCTTAGCTAAAGTTGAAAGATGCTCCGAAATGGAAAGAGCAAACGGAAGGAAGTTCACAATCTTCCGGTTCAAAGCGTTCAAGAAACCCCGACGGAACGTCTCAACAATCAGACGGCCAAACACATTTCGACATCAACGACGGACCGCTTGATCTTGAAGACAAGCAACCTCTTCGTCGGCCCGTTGGAAGAAATAAAGCAAAAAAAGCGGCTTCAACGTCTTCGGGATCTAGTGTTATGGATCAATTTGGAGAGAAATTTGAGCGTTATATGCACGTTCAAGAAACGAAGACGAAGATGTTGAGTCGGGTATAACAAAAAATGATAGAAACACAATCGGTGATTCAAACAAAAACGGATATGAAAATCTTGAAAATGAAAGCGGATGACCTCGAAGGCGAAGATTTGGAGCTATTTCTTGCGATGAAGGAGTCCGTTCGAGTCCAACGTAGGAATAGGGGATAGTTTTTTAGTTAAACTTGGTAATTTTAGTTTTTTTTTTATTTCTAATGTTATTTTTATTTTAATTAATGTAATTTTTATTTCTAATGTTATTTTTATTTTTTTATTTTAATTAATGTAATTTTTATTTCTAATGTTATTTTTATTTTAATTAATGAAATTTGGTATTTTAAATTAATGAAAACTAATATTTAAAAAAATAAATTATATGATTTTTTTTATGTATTTTTGAATTAAATTTAAATAAAAAATGAGGTGGAGTGGTATGTTTAGTGATAGGTATCCCATGATTAGTTGTAGGGAGCGCGGTGATGATGTGACATCCACCAGTGATTAGTGGTGGGTATAACGAATGACCTAAGATTTAAAAGATAGATATAGAATCATGACGGTATATCGTGTCAACCTTTGTTATCTTTAGTTGGAAATGATCCGTACAACCTTGCCAAAAGCTTTCTAAACAAGTCAAGCAATATCGTGATGCTTTAAAATCAACTCGTTTGAAAGACCGGAGGCGGGATGAAACAAAACCCTCTTCCTTCCCACGCACACACAAACCACTTCACCGTATTCCGCCATGGATTCAGCCAGACACACCTGTTTGAAACTTCAAATCCCCCAAAACCCTCATCCATTCTTCATCAAAGGCACCTGGTTTCCTTCTCACTTCAATCTCTCCATCACCGATGGCCTTGACGCTTGGACTTGCAACGGTATCAATAACTCACTCCGATCTTATCAAAGCAACGTCATTGATCTCAATTTTAATGGTATTTTGCAGCATCAGAAGAGGAAGTGAAGGAGAGAGCTTCTAATTGGGACCAACCTACATCGGAGTACATCGATTTGTCGGAACGCTACCTAGGGTTTCAACAGCCTGATTCGATTTACGGGTTTGCTGATGCTGCTGGAGGCAATAAAAGAGTAAGAACTCAAAAATCAGTCATAACTTTTGTTCTAATTACCTTTGCACAAAAAATTTCATACGTTCTTCCTTTCAATTACTGGATTCTTTGTCTTCTGAATATACTTTCTAGTGATAAAGAGGAAAATTTGAAGTTCTAGAGATCAATTATCAGGGAATTCTTTATACTTGTAGCTAAAGATCCATTATGTAATAGTTTTTGTGGGTTTTCTCCCAATTTTCTTTTGCAATTTGGTTTGATCGATCCATAGGTCTTCAAAAGTTTTTGAATCTTTCTCTTTTGATATATCATATCCTTTTGGTGCCAAATCCTTTGCAGTTATCATGGACATTCAAGAAAGAAGGTACAAAGCTAGAGTGGCGATGGAAGTTTAAACCAGCTGAAGATAGTAAGAAGATAACCGCAGGAATACTTGACTTCTTGATGGATGCTAACATACGCCTAAGTGTAAGATAATGCAATTTCATTTCAATTCATATCTCAAACTTGTCTACTATTCTTTTATTATTACTTGATAACTGCTGTTTTAATAAAATAGGAGGAAGTTGTGATGAAAACAAAGTCAAATGAGAAACTTAAAACAGAAGCTGAAAAATGTCTAGCACAAAGTGAGAAGTTTCAGAATGAGAAAGCAGAGTTTGAAACCACAATTTATTCTAAGGTATTAACTATTAAAGCATTAAAAGCAATGTACTTATGTTCTTTTACCCAAAACTACGTCGTTTTGAGTAATTATATACCTAAGCTTTTTCATGTTATGTAATGGAGTTGTAACGATAAAATTGTTTTGGTTTTGGTTTGAATGGTGTAGTTTCTTGGTGTATTGAACTCAAAGAAAGCAAAATTAAGAGAGATGAGAGAGAAAATGTCAAATCAGGAAAATAATGTTAAATCAGAGGAAGAAGAAGAAGAAGAGCATGAGGGAGAATCCAGTGATAGAACAGAGACTTTTGAGGGTGATAGTGAAGATGATGACGTGGAGGAAGACACTGCCACGAATGTCACCAGCACTTCAGAAAACAAGCCACGTGGTAGAAAAAGAAAGTAAAATACATCAATTTAAGATAGATATAAATATTTGGCTCATGTTTTACTTTTAGAGGCGAGATGTAAAATGATGTAGCTGTTTTTCTCAACCCTTTTTTTGTGTTAAATTTGACATCATCACCTCAATGTTCTTCACCAAAAAATTTCAACTTAAAAGAAACCAAATTCCACTAATGTGATCTAATAATTTTAGTATGATCAAAAGCACCCATCTCAAAAGTAAGAAAGTTTCACAGATTTAGATATTGTTTGAAAACCTACTGGATAAGATAGTTTATGAATTAATAATGTTTGGTACAAATACTTTATAAATTAGGTTGCAATGCAAATAATAAACATTTAAGATATATAACTAAAAAAATAATAGATATATATATATATTTTGAATATTTATGAAAAAGCTTTATAAGTTTGTCAAAAAGTATCTCAGATTAATTTATAAACTAATTTATAAGCTAAATAAGCTATTTTTATAATTTTATCATACGACAAATTATAATAAATTACTTTGTTTTTTACAAACATGCAATAAGCAATGATAGTAAGTGGTATTTTTTAGGGATGTGCATACGATAAGTTGGACCGGACCGAACCGGAAAAGCCGGGATTGGACCCGGACCAGACTCGATATTCATATTAGTCGGCCAGTTATTGGGTTTTGTTTTTTTCCAATAATCGGGTTTCGGGTTTGGACCGGACCGTACCCGGAATTCAGGATATAACCCGGACCGGTCCGGAAAACATTTTTACCCTAATTCCTTTTATAAATAACAACATAAATTTAAATTATATAGATAATGATATTGAATTATTAAAATATGTCTTTTTTGAATATGAAACTAAAGGTAAAAATATTTTTTTGTTGCTGTTTTTATAAATAAACGTATCATTTTTCTTATTAATAGTGCTTTTTTTATTATTAAAAAATGCAATTTTTTTTAAATAAAAAGTACAGTTTTATAAATGGTGCGGTATTTTACAAATAAAATAGTTTAACGTAATTTTTTTATTAATAGTGTTGTTTTTTTATTTAAACAAGCAGTTTTTTTTTATAAAAATGCAGTATTTTTGTTAAAAGTGTATTTTTATGTTTTTTAAATGTTAATTCAATCCAAAACCCGAAACCCGGTTTAGTACCCGGAACCGGACCCTAGAGAGTTGTGACTTCCTTGATACGCGTATGGGTCCTGTGCTTTGAGTAGTACGGGCCCATACTACCTT